AGGGGAAGAAGTTGCTGGCAGCTGGTGATAAAGGGATTAAGAACAAAATGTTTCCCAGGGAGGGCATTTCCTAAGAGTTACTTGTTCCTATCCCTAATTCCACATGCCGGTCATTCCGTACGGTCTACAGTTGACTGTACTGAGGCCCAAGAAGTGATGGGTAGTTTACTCAGGGTCCCAGAACAAAGTCCCTAAGCATCCAACTGGGCTGTGTTGGAGGGACAGGCACTTCAGGCCAGCCATTGGGTTGCCCAGGTGACAGTGCTGAGGACTCTCTGTGAGAGACGTTAGCTAAGTGGACACTAAGGACCCTTTCTCTTCATCTTTCATCTATCCAGAGTTTGTTGGGAGCCTTGTGTGTGCTGCAGACACTGGCAATCTGACACACAGTCCCCGATTCAGGGAGCTTGCCGACCATGGTGTAGCATTTCTGTTTTCCGTTGTTTGTAACGGACCGTCCCAGGCTGGGAAGTTGTAGAGCAAAGAGGTTTATTTGGTCTCAGTGTTCTACTCCAGCATCAGGAGAATGGGCTTCTTGATTGGCTGAATCAAGGCTTGAGGTGACACAGAACTTCACTTGACAAGAGACAGATCAAACCTGTACGTGCATGTATGTGTGTGTGTGCGTGTATGTGAGTGTATGCATCCTCTTATAAAGACAACAGTACTAAGGTAGTGGCAGTGGGTAAAATGTTTGCTATAGAAGCATGAGGACTTGAACTCAGATCCCTAGCACCCACATAAAGTCGAGTGTGGCAATGGGCTCCAGGTTTAGTGAGAGAAAATACATAAAATAGAGGTTGAGAAAAATATCTGATGTTAACCTCTGGCATTCTCATGTACATGTACATGTACACACACACACACACACACACACACACACACACACACACACACACAAGAAAGTAAAAAATTTAAGGCTCCAGTATCCAATTGGGGAATCCACCCTGACGCCTTGTCTAATCCCAACCACCTCCCTAAGTTTCCATTTCTAAATAGCAGTGCTGAATCAAGTTTGTCTCACCTGGCTAATCCCTCACAATGGGGATTCAACTCTTTACTAGCAATGTTGCTGGTACAGAATGCCTGGCCAAAGCAACTCCAGGAGGGAAGGCCTTATCTTATGATAGGGATACAGTCCATCATGGCAGCAGGCTTATAAAGCAGCTTCTCACATCATGTCCACATTCAAGAAGCAGAGAGAGGGATTTTGATGCTCACTCACGTTAACCTTTTTCTTTAGTCCGAGACTGGCCTCATGGAATGATGTGGCCCACATTCATGGTGGGGCCCTCCTACTTAGTCAAATCCTTTGGGGGAAAACTGCTCATACATATAGTTAGAGGTATGTTTCCATGGTGATTCCGAGGTCAGTAAAGTTGACAATCAAGAATAACCGTCACAAACTCCAGTATGAGTTTTGGAAGGGACCAACCATATTTAAACAGGAATAAGAGAAAGGCCACGGTGGACCCAGGTTTCATGGGAGCTAAAGCTTAAACACTTTCAATAGCCCTGTTGGGAAGGTGAATACAAGAGGGGTAAAAATTAGGAATGGAGGCTGAGTCTGTAAGTCAGTGGTAGAGTACATGTTTAGGATGTTCAGAAAGGAAGGAAGGAAGGGAAGGAGGAGGAAGGGGGAGGAAGGGAGAGAGAGGGAAAGGAAAGGAAAAAGCTGTTGACTTGGTGATACATGCTTTTAATTCCATCAATCAGCATTTGGGAGGCTGAGTGAGGCAGGAGGATCTCAAGTGGAAGGCCAGCCTGGGCTACATAGTAAAATCCTGTTGCCAAAGAAAAGGAGGGAAGGAAGGAAGGAGAGAGGAAGCAAAGGACAGAAGGCGTAAACAAAGCAGCAAATCGGAAGCCAGCCCTTGGCAAGAGTACGCTCCTCCGCAAGAGTATGCTTCTCCGCAAGAGTACGCTCATGAGGGCAGTGAGGCTTCAGCCATGTTAGTGCTGCTAAAATACTGCTCTAGGGCAAAGCAAACTAGTACACCAGCCATGGCAACCAGTACACCAGCCATGGCAACCAGTACACCAGCCATGGCAACCAGTACACCAGCCATGGCAACCAGTACACCAGCCATGGCAACCGGTACACCAGCCATGGCAACCGGTATGCCAGCCATGGCAACCAGTACACCAGCCATGGCAACCGGTACACCAGCCATGGCAACCTGAGGCTCCAGAGCTGCAGCGAGTGGGGATCAATGGAATCTTCTTGAAGAACTTTGTCAATGCTGAGACTCACAGGCAGGACCAGAGAGTCTTGTTAGGGAGAACCCATGTGCTGGACTTGGGTGAGGAAAGGGGACTGGCAGGAGTTCTGGAGAAGGCAAGGACCTTCTCCGTTTCTTTCCCCTCACCAGATCCCCTAGGAACTCATTATGCAGGGCCCTGAGTTGTCCAGTCCTGCAGGTTACTAGGACCATCCCAGACAGGGCTGCTGGCTTTCCCCTGAGATCTCTGGGAAAATTTTGAGTCTCTCAGAAGAAAGCGCCTGTCCTCTGTTCCTCACCCTCCAAGAACACAGCCTCCACCAGCCTTGCTTTCCTGGTGAGTTTATGTCTGTAAGACTTAGCCCCCTAGAAAAGCTTCTTCCACGGGTTCCAAAAGACAGGAGGGAAGGGAGGAGGGGTGACGGAGGATGGATTCAGAAAAGAAAGTGTCTCTGGGAGGTGAGAATGTGAGAGACACCACCTGAGCCCAGAGGTGGGATAGTGGGACCTCTCAGGAAGACAGCGCCAGCCGAGTGCTCTAATGGTCAGGTTCTGACCACTCTCCCTGAAGGGAGACCCGGTGCCTGGGTGGTGAGGCACGATAGAACTAGCCGCAGTTTAACTCCAGCAGCATCCACAGGCCAGGTTGCAGTGGAAAGTAAAGAGAAGACCCCAGCAAGTGACCCAGCATCAGCTCTCACCCACAGGGCAGTAAGATGTCCCGGGAGCCTCTGGTTGTTGCTTAGATGTAGTAGACAAGCCTGGTCTGAGAGAGAGGCCTCAAGTGTGTGGAGGTCTAGGATCTCATCTGGACATGGGCGATGCCAGCTCTCTGCAAAGACATTAGGTGTTCTTAACTGCTGTGTCATCCTTCTCCTGGTTATCACCCTCAGGGCTACCCTTCCTTGATGGTTCTACCTTGTGTCAAGTTTACAGGGGGAAAAAAACAAAACAAAACAAACAACAAACAAAACACCCAGCCAGCACATTGGATTAAGCCTTTTTTTTTTCTTTTAAATTTTTTAAATTAACTTTTCAGGACCGGCAAGCTGTCCCCAATCCCGATGACAAGAGTTGGAGTGTTGAGACCCATGTGGTCGAAGGAAGGAAGTGGTTAGTGAAAGCTGCCCTCTGACTCCAACATCTATGAAATAAATGCCACAACAATTTTTTAAAAGAAAAAAATTAACTTTTTAGGTTAGAATACAGTAATAGGTTTATCCTGCCACCTTCGTATGCATGTGACACTCATTGTACCCTCTTTACATTTGCGCCCCTTCCCTTCTAATTCCCTTCTTCCTGTGGTCACTTCCCTGTCAGCTTTCCTACTTCATGCCACCCACAACCCTATTTCTCATCTCTCAGAAGATCTCCTCCTCCCCTCTCATGAGCCCCCTTGTAGATCTCTCTGTCTCTATCTCTGTCTCTCTCTCCTCACACACACACACACCACTGGGTTAACTCTCATCTTTAGTTCTCTGCGCAGTTAGTGGGACGTTTGCCCACCTTCCTGTCCCCAGGCCCATTTTCCACCTCTCCTCTTCCAGAGGGCCTTTATCTCGGCATTCAGCATCATGCCTGCCGAAAGATGATGCACATAAGAGGAAGGCCAAAAGAGAAAACAAAAGAAACTGGAGAGGAGAAGCCAGGAGGTGGGGGAAAAGCGTGGAGAGCTCAGATGTCATGGAAACCAGGGAGGGAGGGGCCCCTACGTCGTCTACTGCAGAGCATAGCTCTGTCAGGTGCAGCCTACAAACCAGGACTGAGGATAGTGGAAATGGGAGACGGGTCCAGGAAGCACCGTGGGTGGGCTCAGAGGCAGGTGGTGCAGAAATGGAGGCAGCGAAAATAAGGAACTTAAGAAATGGGAGGAGGAAGGACTGAGGCTGAGCGGTGGCAGGAGAGAAAGGTGAAGTGAAGAAGGGTTAAAAATATTGTATCCGCCGGGGTGGTGGCGCACGCCTTTAATCCCAGCACTCGGGAGGCAGAGGCAGGCGGATCTTTGTGAGTTCGAGGCCAGCCTGGTCTACGGAGCGAGATCCAGAATAGGCGCAAAACTACACAGAGAAACAGAGAAACCCTGTCTCAAAAAAAAAAAAAAATTGTATCCAAAGTAGGTGAAAAATAGGCATGGTGGTGCATATCCAATCCGGGCATTTTGGAGGCACAGCAGTAGGAAGATCAGAAATTCGAGGCCAGCCTGGACAACTGAGTCAAGGCAGCCTCTCTAACAGAATATCAGAACAACAGCATATTCTTAAGATGGCGACTAATGAGGAAAAGAGAGGGTAATGGCGTACACGTGACGTGAGAGCAGAATTCTCCTAGGACTACGTGGCGCCCATCGCACCCTCTCCTGGTTTAGGTGCCTCTTCCAAAAGCCCTGGTAGAGATAAAAAGAACTCTTTCCCTTGCCCAACTACTTTGCAGATGCTCGGCACGAGATGACAGAGCCTCTGGACCCCTCCTTAGACTCCATTCCCCAATCCGTCCATCGCTGGTTTGGACTGTGAACTAGGGTACCCAGCATCTAACAGGGAGAAGCCAGAGCAAACCAGGGCAAAAAGGGATGGTCCTGTTCCCCAGCTCAACTCACAGCAGCGACTGTGCCAGCGTCCACCAGAGGGCGCCGTGGGCTCGCAGAGCAGGGCATGGCATGCGGGCGGGCGCTGGCCGGAGGTGCTGTCCAGGCCCTCCCTGATCCTACTGATGCCGAACAGGCATTTGGAGAAACAATGGCGAACCTACCAGAAAGCCATTGATAACACCCATGTTTTCTTTAAATGTTTTTAGATCAAACATTATCGACACAAAAATGTCCTTTTGTTTGAAATACAAAAAAGTCCTTTTGTTTGACTCTTGACACCCTAAAGAACCCTATCCGTAGCATTATCACAGAAGAATCATTAGGATACTTGGGAGTTCCAAAAAAAACGAGTCATGCTTGAGCCTCTGAACTTTTAAACCTTTTTTTTTTTTTTTCTTTTCTTTTTTTGGTGAAGTAGCAGATTAAGACAGGCATCAAATAACTCTATCTGAATAAAGAGGTAAAGGAGAAAGTGTTAGGGAGTTCCAGAAGGGGGCTCCAGCTTCAGCTTGGACAGGGATGCCCTGTCCATGGAGGGCCAGGGCCTTTACCAAGGGAAGGTCTAGCAACAGAGTGAGTAGACTTATTGTGCCTGATTCTCATCAGTGACAGGGCAGCAATAGTCCCTGCCCTGGAGCCCTTGTTGATCCCGAAAGGTAGGTGAGAAAGGGGAAGTGGATCGGCTAGACATCCAGAGTGTGCTAGAGACGGGGAAGCCAGCGGGAGCGTCTGTTGCAGTTGTACAGGTGTCAGAAGCCATATGCCGACACTGATGTGCCTAGACGTGTCAGGAGTCAAGGTGCACAACTGTAACAAGGCTGTGCCGGGCAGGGCGGTGCATGCCTTGGCTCCCAGCGTTAGGAGTCAGGAGGTGGAGGAACTCTGTGAGTTCTGGACCAGCCAGAGCACAGTGAGACTCTGTCTCGAACGAGAGAGAGAGAGAGAGAGAGAGAGAGAGAGAGAGAGAGAGAGAGAGAGATTGATTCCCCCTCCTCCAGTTTTTTAACACAAGATTTTTCTCCATGTAGCCCTGGAACTCACTCTGTAGACCAGGCTTGTCTCGAACTCACAGAGATCCAACTGCCTCTGCTTCCCAAGTGCTGGGATTAAAGGCATGTGCCACCACTACCTGGCTTGGTTTTAGGCCTTTTAATCACCAAAACAACACAAGCACTCCATTGTCCCTTTGGCATAAGTATATTGTTATCATAATATATTAAGTACTTTGTTACAAGAATTATAATATACTGGTATAAGGTCAGTTTGATTTAGAATCAATAAATTAAGATAAGCCCAGACCTTGGTTATGCAGAAATATTGCTACTAAGGAATTAAATGTAACTGACATTGTCATCATTAAACGATGCTGTATTGGTTTCAGTATGACAATGTTTGCTTGTTTATTTATTTATTTATTTAGCAGTAAATTTAACTAGGAGGTTTAATACTTGGGTCTAGACCTCTAATGAGTGTTTTTCTTTTGCTGGTGTTGTCTTTTTTTTTTTTTTTTTTTTTTTTTTTTTTTTTTTTTTTTTTTTGGCAAGTCTCAGATTCCTCTAGTCCCAGATTCCTAACAATAAAGATAGATAAAGTTCTCTGTCACATCCTGCAGAGAAGCAAACAAGTCCCCTCAGCTCTGTGGCTGTGTCCTTAGTTTGTCTTGGTTCCAGTGTGGCATTCAGGGTCTTTGGGTCCTGCAGAGTGACCTATGAAGGAAAGAAGGGAGCATGGTGGGGGACATTGGTTCCCCATGTCACCCATGTCTTCTCTATGTGGTGGCTCAGGTCCGCTGGGGACCAGACAGTCCCAAACTTGCTGTGATCATGGCTGGGACCATGCTCCACCCCCTTTGTGGCACTTACCAGCTGAGCTCTTTATCTACCATGGTGGATACAGACTTACTGTACCGATTATTTGAGAGTAATATCAACAGCAGTCTCCAGGGTTACTCACTCAATACTCCAGAGCCTTGCCTGTGCAGATGGTAGAACTGTCCAGCCCCCTTGCAGTCAGGTGAGAGGGGTATTGGAGAAATTATTTTGGCCACTCCACGTAGTTAAAAGGATATTTATTAAATGGCGTAACTCACAAATTAAGTAATGGGTAGGTCGCAGGGTCTGGGGAAGGTGTAATGCAGTCTAGCGGTGTTCTCCAGAGCTCTGCACAGTCAATCTGCACCGGTCAGTGTTCCGGCACCGAGAGCGCGCCCAGAGCGAGCGCTGGCCCATCCAGCTCTCGGGTCCCCAGGCGCCTCCCCTCGCCCCGCCTCGTAGGCGTGACAGTTGCCAGAGTCTCAATGGGGGTTGGAACTTCCAGAACCAAGCTGGAATGGCTACCCACTACAGAGGGGTCACATTATGTTACTGGTTTTAGTTATCAGCTGGTGAGTAGCAGAGACTTAGTTGTTTCCCATCACTATTTGCCTATGGAAGACCCTCCAGACGGCCCCTGCTCTGTGCCTGTCATCAGCTATGTTGAGTGAGCTTGGACACAGGGACAAGAGTGACGCTAGGTGGGGTAGAGCTCCCACCAATGTGCCACGTGTCTTGCCACCTGGGCACTGCTGATCATGTCGTGGCAGCCAATAGCACATCTGAGTTCATCTAAACCAATGACGGCTCCACTCTGACTAATAAACAATTAAATGCAATGATCTAGTCATCTCCTTGGCTGAGGAGGAATTAGTCAACAACTATGTTCTCCAGAGCACCCATTCTAGAAGAGTGTGGGGGTGGGGTGGGGGGAGTGGGAGGGTGGGTGTGTTCTTGAGGACTGAACCCAGGGCTTCCCAGATGCAAGACCAGTACTCGACAACTGAGCCACATACCCTGCCCTCTATCCCTGAATCTATTATATAGCAAGCAGTTAGTGAAGACCTGTGGATTCGTGGGTATTTATAGGTTCTAGACACAGCACAACACAAGAGAAAGGAGCACATATACAGGATATTATCTCCATGTGGTGTCCTAGATAGTGGGGTGCCATTCCAGGGAACGATGGAAAGCAGGTATCAGGCTATCACTTCCCTGCATCCATTTTTTTTAATCTTTATGGGGGTGACCATTAATCTTTATAGGGTGACTATCTCCTTGCAGGTTCAAGTGAAAGTTGACCTCTGAGTTACAGCAACGGCATTCAGAGTAGAGCCAGGGCCAAAATTAGCCATGGTAGGCCAGGTAAAAGCAGCCCACAGAGAGCCGAGGACGGAGTTGGGAGTGTGCGGGAGCTGGGATGGAGCTGGGTTGGCAAGGCCAGGGAAGGCTTCTGTTATTCTGCTGGTGGGCATGCCATCTCCCCAGGCTCAGGTGGCTGAATTCTTTTCAGTGGGGCCTGCGAGGGATGGACGATAGACCCTGATCATGATGACCTTTTCGAGGCCCATTAAGTGCCTTTAAATGGCAAGACTTGGCCAGCAGCAGGGACACAGATATTAACACATGCCTCTAAGGTTCTGGCCCCTGCTGCCTTTAGCAGATCTGAACAACACTTACTGAAGGTTTCGTTCTTGAGCCGAGTGCAAATCATCTTCAGTTGTGAATCTCTGGCACCCCATTTTGAGGTGAGTCTGCTGGGGCAAAGTTACAGAAGAGAAAAACATCCATTTGCTGTCCTCTCTGCGCCTCCCCACTGGAGTTCTAGGGAGTGAATCCAGGGCCCCCTTGAAACACACTAGAGAAAGGCTCTACCCCTGAGTTATACCCTTAAGTTATATTAAACTGTGTTTTAAAATAATCTATTCTAGCAACACTTCCCAACCACTAGAATGTTCAGGGTCTCTCTAGGAAGAAGTTTAAAGCCATCTGCGTGCCCTAGGAACTGTTCCTACCCACCTTGTCTCCTGTTCCTACCTGAACAAGCCACGCTAGACGCTCCTTCTCTCATGCTTCATGGTCTGTTCTCCTTGCCTCCCATGTCTTTCCCTGTCTGCTGCTGACGGAATTCTGGCTCAAAGAGCCTGGTAGTGATGCTTCCCTCAGCTCCCCCAGGCAAGGGATGCTGCTCCTCTTCCTGGAACTGTTGTTGCAACATGGACTGTGCGGCCCTGGGCAGACTTGCCGCACTGTACTATTAGTCCTTTCTCCATGCCCCCAGCTTGATCGTCTTTGTTACATTCTTACATCATTGTTCTTCCTCTCTTCTGCCCTCTCTCAAAGATTATGAAATAACGAGACTATTGTTACAATCTAAAAGGGCATTTTACTCACTATATATACAGTTGCCTCCCTGTCCTTTACATTTGTATACAGAGCCAAGAGAAGGATGAACCACGCAGTAATTATGATCAGAAGTTTACATTCTAAGCCCTAGCTGGCAAGGGCCTGTTTTCCTTTTCATCTGGAGTCTGAAGCGGGTTATTTTAGATGAATCTTCCCTCCAGGTAAATTTAATAATGCTCCCTTATATTGTAGTGGCGCATGCCTTTGATCTCAGCACTTAGGAGGCAGAGGCAGGAAGATCTCCAGGAGGTCAGGGCCAGCCAGAGTTCCAGACCAGCCAGAGCTACAAAGTGAGACCCTGTTTTGAAATCAGGGTGGGGGAGGGGTGCTTTGACAAGCTACTGTCACACATATTCATAATGTCCCTGGGGAATCTTCCTGTGGCTAAGCTGGAGAGTGGGAAGGTGGGAGATTTATTTAAGAATAAGGATGTAATGAGAGCAATTGCTTTTGTGGAGAGCACCAGCATTCTCCCTTTTAATATAAAGCTTCATCCAATATACTACTGGCATTTTTTTTTTTTTTGGCCAAGTGTTTTGTATTCCCCATGCAAAAGACCTGTAATTGAAAGCAGACTAATATTGTTTACCCTCGAGAATGGCAGTCTGATTGTGTACATGGATAGTCTCTTAAGAGACAGGCACTTTTTTTTCCTCCTATAATCTTAACCAGGATGCAGGGTAACAGTATTGGAAGCATGCAGCTTATCTGTTTTAAGATAGTCATAGAGATGGCAAAAGACTCCTGTATTTTAAGTCTTTAATATGTTCGCCTGCAGGAAGCAGGGTGTGGGAGGAGAGAGAAGGGGAGGGGGTAAGTTATACCAAAAGTTCAAATTCAGTGTTTCTTTAATTCCAAACTTATTTCTTGTTTAATATGCCCCAAGGAAGGGATTTAGACCAGTTCTATTTGCGTGTCAGATAGGGTCTGATGAATAAAATTAGCAAGACAGTGGGAAACACCAACTAGTTAAATCAGAAACACCAACTAACTAGTTAAGCCAGGATCTCTAAGTTTAAGCAATCCTTGACTTGCTGACTGCCTACCAGGCCCAGGACTAGGGTAGGGCAAATGAAACATTCCATTTAGGCAAAAAGCTTAATGAGTGGCAATAAACTAAGTAAAGCAAATTGTACTTTTTGAACTATTTAAAATGATCTAAAAATGGCATATTCTGTTCATCCTGGAAATTCATATTACCTTTTACTTAAAAAAATGACTTAAATACTCTTGCTTAATGAGGTTTTTGGTATTCTTTAAGCTTAGAATCGGTTTTTTTTTTCGTTTTTTTTTTTTTTTTTTTTTTTTTTTTTTTTTTTTTTTTTGGTTTTTTTTAGCACGCGGCCTGCTTCCTAAACACACATTCTGAAGATACATTCTCATTTACCATTACTTTTTTTTATACTGCATGTCCTGAAAGGAAGTTTTTAAATTATTATTGTTTTTAAGCGTTAATGATCTTAAGACCATAATCGTCCCCAAGGCTGCATTTTTAGCACTATCTGCACACCAAGTTATCCCATGCAACAGGACCGTCTCCAGCTAATATCGGTAAATTGGGGGGGGGGGGCATGACTGCAGGTTTCGACTTTGGGAGATCTGCTGGATGCCAGTGAAACTCCTGAGCTCTTTTTGTGTGTGTGTGTCGGGGCCCGGGCGGGGGGGGGGGGCGGGGGGTTGTACTGCACTTGATATGGCGTTCCTGGAGACTGCCTCTTGCCTCGTCTTTAAGCCACAGGGAATGATAACCCTTTTTCACAGAGGAAAAAGTGGACGGGATGCAGTTTGTACATTTTGGTCTACACTTATCAGAGTTGCCAGATAAACACCCAGCTTTTCACGATCCCTACAAACAGCCGGACTTGCCTTGGCACACGAGTGAGGGCGGAGGTTTTCTTTTTCCACTCACACAGCCCGGAGCTGCTGGACCAGCCCCTTCCCGGGCGCAGACTGGAAGTTCCCGCTGTTCGACTCCCGGGGCCTGGTGCACTCCTCCCGGCCCTCCTAGGTTCCCAGTCCCCTCGGCTCAGGGCTGTCTCCCGCCCGCCGCCTTCCCCGGTGCCGATCCCAGGCGGAGGAAATTCTTCCCTAGCAGCCTAGGGCTCGCCTCACGTGACCAGCCGCCGCCGCCGCCGCTTCCAGAGAGAGTTTAAAGGTTACGGAGGAAATTAGCATGGATACAGCCACCGGCCCCCAGGAGGGCGCAGCCGGCTTTCCCGCAGCCCGGGCGCCCGCTGTCAGCTCGTGGATCCGAGCCTCGTCCCCTTCAGGGGCACACGCGAGGTCCCGCATGTGTAGGAGGAGTCACTTTGAGAAGTAAACAGACACTCGAACCGAGCCGGGCCGGGGTTCTACCAGGCTTCCACTTGTCAACAAGTTCTCGCAATCGGAGCAAGTCCGGGACAGATCCCCAGAGGGGAGAATCTCCCCAAGGAGAAGGAAGAGGAAAATTAGGTTTCAAAACTCACACCCAGCAAAAGAGCTCAACAGTCCGGGTCCCCCCTCCCCCACCGCGGCACAGTAGAGAATCCCGGGACAGAGTGACAGCCAGGCCAGCTCTACCACGGGCGGCTGGTGACCGCCGCCGTCCAGGCAGAGTGGGGAAAGGTGCTGTGTCTTCTGGGACATTGCGACCCCCTCCATTCCTCCAGCCCCGGCTCTAAAAGATAGTGTTGGCAGCAGAGTGCGCGAGAAATGCGCGGCCTCCCTGCTCTCGGGGTGCAGACCCGGCTCTCCCAGTCGGGACCAGAGGCGCACAGATTCGGCCTGCGACACTCGCCCCCGCATCCCAGCGCCGCCACCTTCCTGGGACCCTCGCCGAGTCCTCCCTCAGCTCCCCCGTGCGTCGCCGCCACCGGACCGGGCTGGCCGGCTCGCTGCTGTTTTCTGCTCAGCTCACTTTTCCCGTATTGCTCCCCCAACCGGCAAAACTTTCTATTTCCCCAAACACTGTCGCGCGCGCGCGCGCGTGCACACACACACACACACACACACACACACACACACACACACACACACACACACTCACACAGACTGACGTCTTTTGCGCATTTCCTGCATTAGAGGGAGGGAGAATCGCTCGCACGGCGATCGAGGGAAGGAGATCGCGGGCTGAGCGCTCTGGCGGGCGGAGAGCCGGCGGCAGCCGAGAGCGCGGACG